AGAACCCTTCCACGGTGTGGGCAACCGGGAAGTGATAACCGCCCTCATACCTCTAACAGCACCCAAGACCACTGTATTCATAATCAACCTTCCTCTTCAATTCCTATTATTCCTCCTACATCGACTTTCAACCCTAAACTTCCTCCTTTGGCTTCCTCCTCAAGTGTCACCATAGCCAACGATTCTAGTGCTCAAAACTCCGTCCCAGGTCTACTGAAACCTCGCTCCAAACTACACATTGGAGCTTTCAACGTACGCACTCTATGTCAAATCGGTCAGCAGGCTTCCTTGGCTAAAACCCTAGAGTCTCTTTCCATTGATGTATGCTGTGTCTCCGAAACACGCATACAGGATCCCAGTGTGGTCATTCACTTGACCTCACCTCGGCAGAACGGAGAGCCAACGAGATACACCCTTCGTGTATCTGGTGACCCGATGGCCAGTTCTCGTGGACTGGCAGGTGTAGGCATAGCACTAAGCATGAGGGCCGAACAAGCACTGCTAGAGTGGATCCCCGTCAACAGTCGTCTATGTGCTGTTCGGCTGAACGGCTGCGTAAGAACTCGGAAGGATAGGGACACACGTCGTTGCCTTTTTGTCGTTTCTGCCTACGCTCCCACTGACTGCAGCTCAGATGAAGTGAAAGATGAATTTTACAGAAAGCTTCCTGAACTTCTTCAGAAAGCTAAACGCTCAGACATAGTACTCGTAGCAGGTGATTTTAATGCTCAGATAGGTAGCTTAAACCAAACAGAAAGGCATTTAGGTGGATATTTTAGTATTCCGACACAGCGAACAGATAATGGTGATCGTCTGCTGCAGCTATGCTCAGACAATCGTTTATTTTTAGCAAACACAAATTTTAAGCATAAGGAGAGACATCGTCTAACATGGCGACCCCCTACACCAAACCAACGATGGACTCAAATAGACCATATTGCCATCAGTCATCGTTGGAGAGGGTCGGTAGAAGATTGTCGCTCATTCTGGAGTACCTGCTTGGACTCCGACCATGCCCTAATACGGGCACGCATCTGCTTGCGCCTCACTGGACGCAAAAAAGCCACATTAAAAAGACCCGTTAGAACTGAGTTGAGTAACGAGAAAACCAAAAGTAGGTTCCAGGAACAACTGAGGTCACACTTAGGTAGTTGTGAAGACGAGGCTGACCCAGATGTTGCTTGGAAGGGCATACAAGCAGCTGTGGAAACAGCAGTGACATCTATTAGTGACTTAAACCACAGAGTTACAAGGAACCAGTGGATTTCTTCAAGGTCTGTCACACTGATGGATTCTCGCAAACTCGTCCCATCAGGTTCCGAACATGATGAAGAGCGACAACAAATCAGATCTAGGTTAAGAAAAAGTCTAAGGAACGACCGTGAGCAGTGGTGGGTAACGAAAGCAAAAGAGATGGAAAAGGCGGCGACTATAGGGAACACAAGACAGCTTTACAGACTAATAAAAGAAACTGGAATTAATAAGTCAAGTGTAAGTGAGATTATTTCGGAAAAAGATAATACTCTCATCTGCTCCCAGTCCAGACGTTTAGAACGATGGGCGGAACATTTTAGAGAACAGTTCAGCTGGCCTTCAGCTACTCTACAACTACCCTCCATTCCCAGACAATGTGAATGGAACATTGAAGTAGGTCCCCCAACTCTTGCTGAAGTTCAAAAGGCTATAGTTAATCTGAAACGAGGAAGGGCAGCTGGTCCAGATGGATTGGCTCCAGAGGTCTTTAAGGATGGTGGTCCAATTTTAGCGATTAGGTTGACTAATATTTTAGCTAAGATCTGGGAATTAGACTTTATCCCATCTGACTGGTCGCAATCACTTATCGTCCCAATATATAAGAAAGGGTCAAAATCATCCTGTGACAACCACAGAGGGATTAGTTTAACAAACATAGTATCTAAAATACTGGCCTCGATAATTATCAAACGCCTAACTAAGACTCGTGAACTACAAACACGAGAGAACCAAGCTGGCTTTAGACCTGGTCGTGGCTGCATCGACCACATATTCACCATTCGTCAGGTTCTAGAACACAGGCATACCTATCGGCGTCCGACGATGGTGGTCTTTCTTGACTTAAAAGCAGCATTTGACTCTGTAGACCGCGAGACTCTGTGGCAGTGTCTGTCATTGAAAGGCGTACCTCAGAAGTACATAAACCTTGTGAAGGCTCTTTACTCGAACACTACTAGTCGAGTCAGGGCTTATGGCGAACTGTCATCTACTTTTGCAACCTCAAGTGGTGTCCGTCAAGGCTGCCCACTTTCTCCATTTTTGTTTAACTTCATCATAGACCTATTGATGGAAATAACACTCTCGTCGACTGAATTCTCGGGTATTGATCTCCTTCCAGGAGGTCCACTTATCGACTTAGAATACGCAGATGACATAGTCCTGTTTGGTGAAGACGCTGACAAAATGCAGAGTCTTCTGGTAGCACTAAGCAACAATGCCAGAATGTTTGGGATGCGCTTCTCTCCCTCTAAATGCAAGTTGTTGCTTCAGGACTGGTCTGCGTCAACACCTGAACTAAGGATAGGGAGTGAAGTAGTCGAACGAGTTGACAACTTCACTTATCTTGGAAGTCTGATCAGCCCTAATGGGTTGGTGTCTGACGAAATCTCAGCACGGATTCGTAAAGCTCGTTTGGCTTTTGCCAACTTACGTCACCTTTGGCGGAGGCGAGATATCCGTCTATCAATAAAAGGACGAGTATACTGCGCGGCAGTCCGTTCTGTTTTACTTTACGGCAGCGAAACATGGCCTTTAAGAGTAGAAGACACCCGTAAGCTACTAGTATTTGACCACAGATGCCTTAGAAATATTGCTGGCATCTGCTGGGATCACCGGGTAAGTAATAGTGAGGTTAGACGCAGGGTATTAGGGAATGATGGTAAATCAGTTGATGAGGTTATGAATCTTCATCGACTGAGATGGTTGGGCCACGTATTACGTATGCCTGAACACCGATTACCACGACGTGCAATGCTAACCGGTGTAGGGGATGGTTGGAAAAAAGTTAGGGGCGGCCAAACCAAAACGTGGCATCAGTGCTTGAAGTCACTAACTTCTAGTCTGAGCCATGTTGGTAGATGCAGACTACTTGGTTGGGGTCCGCGTGACTTTCGTAACCAATGGTTGGAGACTCTTGGTGACATGGCTCAGAATCGATCACAATGGCGTCGGTGTATACACTCCCTGTCTTCCCTTAAACTAAGAGATTAAAATCACTTCATACCTTTCTTTCTACGAACTAATTCTTCCTTCCTATACTATATCCTTATTGCAACCTTTGACCTAACCACTCCTATGAATCCGGTGTTCATCTTGTTGTGCTAATGAGGTATGGCAACCTGGACCGATGCACATATGTGCCTGGTCCTACGTTGTAGCTGACTGACTGACAAGTACCAAAAGACTGGAAAGAAGGACTTCTGGTCAAAATACCGAAGAAAGGCGATCTCAGCAAGTGTGATAAATACAGGGGCATCACTCTTCTCTCAATACCGGGAAAAGTCTTCAACAGGGCATTGTTAAACAGGATGAAGGACTGCGTAGACGCCCAACTTCGAGACCAACAGGCAGGATTCCGTAAGGATAGATCGTGTACAGACCAAATCGCAACTCTACGGATCATTGTGGAACAATCAATTGAATGGAATTCATCACTCTACATCAACTTCATTGACTACGAAAAGGCATTTGATAGCGTGGACAGAACAACACTATGGAAACTTCTTCGACACTACGGCGTCCCTCAGAAGATAGTCAATATCATACGGAATTCCTATGATGGATTACAGTGCAAAATCGTGCATGGAGGACAGTTGACAAACTCGTTCGAGGTAAAGACCGGTGTCAGGCAAGGTTGCTTACTCTCACCCTTTCTCTTTCTCCTGGTGATCGACTGGATCATGAAGACGTCAACTTCTGAAGGGAAGCACGGGATACAATGGACATCTAGGATGCAGTTGGATGATCTAGACTTCGCAGACGATCTGGCCCTTCTATCCCAAACGCAACAACAGATGCAGGAGAAGACGAACAGTGTAGCAGCAGCCTCAGCAGCAATAGGTCTCAATATACACAAAGGGAAAAGCAGGATTCTCCGATACAACACAGAATGCACCAATCCAATCACAATTGACGGAGAAGATTTGGAAGATGTAAAAACCTTTACATATTTGGGCAGCATCATTGATGAACAGGGTGGATCTGATGCAGATGTGAAGGCGCGGATCGGCAAAGCAAGAGCAGCATATTTACAACTGAGGAACATCTGGAACTCAAAGCAACTCTCAACCAACACCAAGGTCAGGATTTTCAATACAAATGTCAAGACAGTTCTACTGTATGGGGCAGAAACCTGGAGAACTACAAAAGCCATCATCCAGAAAATACAGGTGTTTATCAACAATTGTCTACGCAAAATACTTCATATCCATTGGCCGGACACTATTAGCAACAACGTACTGTGGGAGAGAACAAACCAGATCCCAGCGGAGGAAGAAATCAGGAAGAAGCGCTGGAAGTGGATAGGACACACATTGAGGAAAGCACCCAACTGCGTCACAAGACAAGCCCTCACATGGAATCCTGAAGGTCAAAGGAAAAGAGGAAGACCAAAGAACACATTACGCCGAGAAATGGAAATAGACATGAGAAAAATGAACAAGAATTGGATGGAACTAGAAAATAAGGCCCAGGACAGAGTGGGTTGGAGAATGCTGGTCAGCGGCCTATGCTCCATTGGGAGTAACAGGCGTAAGTAAGTAAGTAAGTATTATCCCTAGAAATATTTTGATCCATATCAGTATAATGTTACAATGGATCATTGTGGCTGAAATTTTAAATTAATGCTTGTGGTGTAATTATTAATATGAACACCAGTTTAGTAGAAGTAATGGTATAAAGACGTAAAGAAAACTATTGACTAATATATTTACTAAGTGTAGACTATATAAAGATAATTCTTAACATACCTTGTTGTAGCGGCACGAATGGCATCGCCATAAATTGATGGTAGGGAAGAGAGATTCACTAACCATGACGGTTTAGCTAAAGAAGTGGCTGGAGAAAACGAGTTTGCAGTATTCAGATATCCAACCTCCGGAAAATAAAGTAAATGCGATGGGTTCTCACACATTTGTTCAGTTGAAAATACACCAGAGATTTGATCTGAGAACTTACCACCACGATTAGGCTAGTTTTTTTTATAAAAAAAAGCGAAAGATAAAATGGATTAGGATCAAACTAATACGTGTGTAGCGGTTCGTAATGATTGATAATACGATGAATAAGATTGAGTTACTTGTGGTGTAGGGGAGATGACCGTTTGCCGACCAAAGGACGAGTACAATGTGCAGCAGCTCGCTGTTACTTCATGGCTGTGAAGTGTGGCTTTAAAAAGAGGTTATTCACAGGATGTTAGTATTTATTCATATGTATCTTCGAAGTACTGCTTGTGTATGTTAGGACCTCTGGGCGAATAACGTTATGGTAAGACGCAGGTTACCAAGGAAAGTATGCTGAGTAAATCGGTCGAGGTGGCTAGGACATGTATTAACTAAGCCTAACCACCGCCTACCTCAACACAATGGTGGCTGGTGCAGGAATAGTTTGTAAGGAAGATATGAGAAACCAAACCAAAACGTAGCATCAGTTCAGGAAGTTATAAACTATTGCACTGACCCGTTTACGTAGGTGCTAACTACTTATTTGGGGTCCATGTGATTTTTGTAACCAACAGTTAGAGACTTTGGTTGACTTGGCTCGGAATAATTCACGATGCAGCAGATGGATTCACTTTTTGTGTTCCCTTACATACCAAGTTTCCATATTACCTTATAACTTTTTAGTCCATGGGTCTACATTTTTTAAACCATACCTTTTATGCCTTTTCTTTTACCCCCAATACTGTTACTACCTATACCACTCTGGGTTCTCGATGTGCTGTGTTGAAACTTGGACAAACGCATGTGACTAGTTCATTTACCAAATACACGTTCATGTAATCGGCTATGAGCCACATCGCTTTTATGAAGGCTACTAATAAAACGCGGGTATCTAAACAGAATTAGATGAAGTGGATTTTAATCATGTAACCAACTAGTCGGAAGCCTGGAGTTTTGACCATTAAACGCACTGCCGGTAAGATTGCATAGAAAATATAGCAGGAAACTGTACACAAATAACTATATCATCACTGAAAATAAAAATCAGTTGAAAATTGATTACACAGGATAGTGTCAGCCATTCAATAATATTTGAAATGCAAATCAAGATGTTAAGGTTTGGCATTAGGGGGATTACATAGTAAGTCAAAATAACAATGCACAAACGTGCATCAGCTTAATTCGCCAAGCCTCATACGGTAAAGATGAAGTTAACAAAATAAATAACAAATAAATCGAAATAATCGTTATACAAAGATGTGGTTTGATAAAGGACGGGTTCGCAAAATGAAATTTAAAAAATGATAGTTGAAAAATAGGTTACATGCCTTAAAATCTATCTCAATAACACGAATGTATGCACCTTTTTTTAGTTGATAGGATCTAGACTATCTTATTATTGCATACCTTTCGCTAATGGCTTTTATATTTTGCCTCATAAGCTCTCATTACAACCATTGGAAACATATTTACATTTCATGGTTTTTTCTTTACCTGACGTTGCCAATCCGGTAAAGCAATCTTAGGTAGTGTGCGAGTAATCGATATGTCAGTGCTTTAATACCATAGTGAATAATGGATTAGTAACTATAACTGAAGAAAGAATTACTTGAAAATAACATGGAAATACATATATATAGAATCTACTAACCGTATTGTGAGTAGGAATGCAAGAGTGAGGAGCTACAGGTAAAGTTGTTTTGACCTTGGAAACAGATGAATTATTATCTAAAAAGATGTAGCGTATCGATCTGGGCATACCATCTTTGCTTGTGACGACAGAATTGTCCAGTGCAAGCTTTTTAATATATTCATCAATATGAATTTCCTCTGTCTTTCGCGATAGCATTTGTAACCTTAACTGTGTACTTTCGAATCTCCTTCGCTGCTGTTCGAGTGATGGACCGCACGATCTAGAACTAAGCAAATAAACAAGAAAGTTCGCTTACGTGGAAATATTTGATTTACTAATCATTTTGATATCATTTATTCAGGTAAGTTACCAGCAACCTCGAAAAATACGGTCATGCAGATTTCACATGACACTTAAATAAATCACGCCATTATGGCATCAATCCAGTGTTCAAGAAAATCGATCTGAAAAAGTGAAATCCAACGGAAACTGAGTAGATGTTAAACCATATTTAAAGACTACTTTGATGGTCACGAAAAAACACTTCAGTTATCTGTTTTTAGGAGCCTAGATTCATTGGTATGTGAATAAAACACTAAATTACATTGAATGAATAAAACAAATTTTCAGTAAACCACCAGACGATGTGTAATGAAATCGTTGGAGAAAGATAACATGAAAACCTATTGACACGTCTAAAGGGAAAAAGGAAATAACTGTGACTTAGCTTACGCCATGTAACCGGAATCACTAAAGCAGTAACTATAGGAATTATAAAACAAGTATTTGGTGTGAAGCTGAATGCCAAACATTTGGCAGATGTTTATAAAATGAGGCCAGGAACTACTGTGAATATATCAGTTTTGCCTTTAGCAATATATTTGATGTTATTTTTAAATTTTACTGGATTCAGTGCAATAAATTTACTAAGGGAGGTAGTGGATATTAGTGCTTATCAACATATATTACAGTCGAAAGAATGAAGAATTTCCCTTACTGCTACGGCATATCAAGATTCGACAGAAGCACAACGAACTGTGAGCCGATGATAACATATTATTAATGAAATGATCACCAAGATATCTCACTGCTGAGTATCGAAATTTCGATTCTAATTAGGATACTTAAGTATCAATATCCATCGAAATTCCTAAATCTGAAGTCGTTTCACAATAACTTGCAAAAACCATAGAAATTAAAAGCTATAATGAGAAGTCTGTAACTTATAGATTTTCATCTCATGAATAAAAAACGAAATAGGACATAAGCATACATTGAGCTATACTATATCGATCAAAATTTAGGTTTCTCATTGAGCATACCATTGAATATTATTCGACGCATTATCAAACTATTCACAGGAAGAAACACAGTGAAAGAAAATCACCATGAATTATCAGGGTACACTCAAATTAAAAAAGAACTAGTTATACACCAAAACAGCAAACTATGACCTTGCGTCGAATATACCGGGTACTTACTAAATCCAATGGTTCAAAATGGTTCAAATGGTTGTGGACGGAAAAGAAGAAGCTTTCACTTAACAGGCTTCCGTGTCTAGTAGCAGGGGATCACCAAATCCTCCAGTCAGGAACCTAGGTATGTTAACAACAAAAAAGGAAAAGAAATATGTAAATCATAGTATGATGCTCTCCTTGGTCCTTAAGAATAGGTCAAGTTGCCTCTTGAAGGACTCCTGAGAAGTCGCTTGAACTAGCTCGGCCGGCAGCGAATTCCAGCTTTTGACGACTCTTAAGGAGTAGAAGTTGTGTCTGCAGTCCGTTCTGCTACGTTGTGTCTCCAGCTTTTGGGTGTTACCCCTTAGGTTAGTGTTGGAACTAAACTTAAGTAGGTGTTTGAGAGGATGTCCAGAAGTGTTAAAGATACTATAAGCCATCAGAAGGTCACTTCTAAGACGTTTATACTCTAATTGGTAAAGGTTAAGTGGATGGAGGCGCTCTTCGTAAGGTTTAAACTTGAGTCCTCGAAATGATTTCGTGGCTCGCCGTTGGATACGCTCCAGGGCGTCCCCATCCTTTTGGAGTGAGCAAGGAAATACTATGTTTCCGCACTCTAAACGGGGACGGATAAAACTATTGAAGATTATATGGAAAGTTCTTCCGTCAAACTGGCCGAAAATGCGCTTCAATCTTACCAGTGCAAGGTTTGCTCGGAAGGCATTTTTGTCACAGTTAGCATAAGACGTTAAATTGTAGGGCACCAACACCTCTAAATCTTTTTCGACTTGGGATACTAATAGAGAGGAGTTTCCTAAGTTATAACTGTAGTCTGAGACATGTCGCAGATGGACTACTTTACACTTTGAAGCGTTAAAGGTAAGTCCGTTATCATCTGCCAAACTTTGAAGTCGAGTCAGATCCTCCTGAAGTGCCTGTATATCGTCTTGGTTGCGTATCTCTCTCCAAAGTTTCACGTCGTCGGCAAAAAGTAATAAGTCTGACGTAACCTGTTGAGGAAGATCATTTATGTAGATCAAGAAGAGAAGAGGCCCTAGTACTGAGCCCTGGGAAACCCCACTAGGACATTCCATAGCCTGAGATAAAGTGAAATTAACCCTGACCTTAAAATGTCGATTGTTCAGGTATGAAGTGAGCCAATCGATTAGAGGTGGTCTGATACCCAATTGCTTGAGCTTATTGATAAGACATGTATGGTAAACCTTATCAAAAGCTTTTGAGAAATCTAGGTAGATGATATCAACCTTCCCCTTGTGATCAAGGATGCTTGTCCATCTGTCCACCGCAGTCAGCAGGTTGGTTATACAAGAGTAGCTCTTCCGAAAACCATGCTGTCGGGGTGAGAAGAAATTTAAGGACAGTAAATAGTCATTTATACCATCGCATATCAGGGACTCCATGATTTTTGAAGGTATGGAGAGAAGAGCCACCGGCCGATAACTTGAAGGTTCGCTGCGTCGACCTCCTTTGAAAATCGGTGTGATGTGAGCCAGCCTTTCGGTAGTTTTCCTCAACTTAGCGAGTGTGAGAACATCACGCTAAGTGGCGTTGCCAGGATTGAGGCTTCTTACCTCAGTGTGGCAGAATGAACCATATCCGGGCCAGGAGAAGTGTCAATTCTTAAGTGCTGCGGAACACGAAGTCAGCGCTTAGGTTCACTTCGGAAAGTCCTGTGGAGTTGCAGATGGAACTGTAATCAGTGTAGTTTATGTGGGTCGGTTGAAATGTCTGGGAGTAATGTTCAGCCAGAAGATTAGCGGCGTCGCCATCGTTGTTGGTCGGGCCGTTAAGACCTACCAGTCGGGAAACTCCAGTTTTGGCTTGACGAAGAGAGGCTGCGTAACGGAATAAGCTTTTAGGATTAGAGGCGAATTTGTCCATAAGCTTTATCTGGTACTGAAGCCTATCTTCTCTTATAGCCTTCGTGCATATGTTCCTGATACGTTTATATTGCCTGTACGCTACGTCGTTGTCAGTTCGTTTGTATTCCGCCCAACAATGCCTTTTGTGGCTTAGCAGGCGAAGGGTACGGTTCTTGATTACCGTATGTGGCTTGCAGCTTTTGGGAACCGTTTGAGGGACTGAATGGTTTGTAGCACGTAAGAGCGTGTGCAGTAAGAAGTCCCAATGACCGTCCACATCGAGTTGGGGGTGTACATCCCAAACCATCTGTTGTAGATAGTCGTGTAGAGCTGGCACATTCAACCGTTTAAAATTCCAACGCAAGTTATTGGTGGAATATCCTAGCTTACTTTTGCTGACAAAACTGAATGCTATGACGGCATGGTCGCTTTTTCCCAGGGGAGCCAGGATTGAGAGGTTGTCAACTAGGAATTCTTCGTTTGTAAATACCCAGTCTAAGCGCGATACTGTCTGACTGTTTCTCCAACGAGTTGCCGACCTCACACTTTCGTACAATCCCAAGTCATCGATGAGGTTGAAGAACCGAGCTTCAATTGAGTTGTCGCCTCCAGTATACGTGTGTTCCGCGAAGTTGACTCTAGGGAGATTAAAGTCCCCTGGAATCAGAATGTGTGTGAAAACGAGACGAGTAGAGCGGGATAGTCCTTCCGGCATACGACTATCGTACTTGATGTAGGCAGTTGGCTTCCTGTAAATGACTCCGACTAGACACCTCGAAATACTTGACAACCTTACAGAGCACCATATAGATTCCTCAAGATTATTAAACTCGAGGTTGTGAACTTGGTCCACCTCCAAGCAAGAGCTTATGTATATGGCTACTCCGCCATTCATTGCGGAACAAAGTCATCTCAGGTAATGCTAACTCTTGGTCCGAGAACTGAGAAGATATCCAGGTTTCAGATATTCCTATCAGATGGGCCTTATTAGCGTTGCTAAGTTCACGTAGTTCATCCAGTTTGTTTGGTAGACTCCCGGCGTTCATATATAAGCAGTTTATGCTTTCAATTTGGAACGCGTGAGCTTCGTCCTGTTTTTCTGTATGAACCTTATGTGAATGGACAGGTAGCCCACCTATATGAGGTTTGCCGAGGTGGTAGGCCCTGTCCTTTACACGTTTCTTTTATCGTTTAGACAGTCCACAAGTGGAATGGTCAACTCCAACTTGCCTTTGTTCTTGCGTATCTCCAAACTTTCACATTATCAGACGAAAGTAATACTTCTGAGGATACCTGTTGTAGAACATCGTTTACAAAAATCACGAAGAGATCCTGGTGCCGGACCCTGGGGGACCTCTTTAGGACATTTCATAGACTGAAAGAAAGTGAAGTTGACCATGACCTTAAAATGTCTGTTTTTCAGATATGAAGTAAGCCAGTCAATTGGACGTGATTTGATACCCAATCGTTTGAGCTTATTGATAAGACATATACGGCTGACCCTGTAAAAAGCTTTCGTGAAGTCAAGGTGAATGCCGTCAATTTTGCCCTTGAGGTCAAGGATGGTTGTCCATCTGTCCACCGCGGTCAGCAGGTTGGCTATTCAAAAGTGACCTTTTCTGAAACCGTGCTATTGATGTAGGAAGAAGTTTATAGATAGTAAGCAGTCGTGTAGATCGTCGCATATCAGAAACTCAGTAATTTTTGATGGTACAGAGAGAAATGCTACCGGTCGGTGACTCGAAGTTTCGCTGAGTCGACCTCTTTTGAAAATCGGTATGATGTGAATCACCTTTCAATTTTCTAGTAATATGCCTCGGCTTAGAGAATATGAGAACACCACTCTAAGCGGGGTTGCCATGATTGAAGCTACTTCCTACAGTATAGCATAATGGACCATATCTGGGTCAGGAAAAGCGTCCTTGTTTAAATTCTGCGGTTTCCGGTACATCAAGTAAGCGCTCAAGTTCACTTTGGAAAGTCTTATGCAGTTGCGGGCGAAGCTTCCATCAATATAGTTAGTTTGGGTTGGTTTAGATGTTCAAGACTACTGTTTTGTTAGAAGGTCAATAGGGTCACCGTCGTTGTTGGTTGTGCCGTTAGGACCTAGCAGTTGGGAAACTCCAGTTTTGGCTTGTCGAAGAGAGGCTACATAACGGAACAAGCATTTTGGATTGAAGACTACTTTATCAATAGGTCTGAAGCCTGTTTTCTCTTATTGCCTTTTTGTATATATTCTTTATTTGTTTGAATTGCCTGTATGCGTCGCGATTACCAGTTCGTTCGTATAACGCCTAGCTGTGCCTTTTACGACTTAGCGAACGAAGAGTGTGATTTTTGTCAATTGTAGTTTGCTTATAGATTTTCGAGGCCGTTGGCTGAACAGACCACTTAAGATCGTGTGCAATTAAAAATTCCAATGAGCATTCACAGGAAGTTGGGGGTGAACTTCCCTGTCCACCTGCTGTGGATTGGCATGTAAAACTGACACTTCCAACCGTTTGAAATATCAGTCCATTGACGGTAGGGTGTCTTTGATCAGCTTTGGAGATTAGATTGGAGGCTATGACGGCATGATCATTTTTACCCACGAGATCCAAAATTGAATGATTGTCAGTTAGGGATTGTCCGTTTGTAACTACCCTGTTTGAGTGAGACGGCGTCTGACTGTGTCTCTAATGAGTTGCCGAATTCACATTTTCGAACAATCCCAAATCTTCAATGAGGTTGAAAAACCAAGTTTCAGTAGTTTTCACCTTTAATGTACGTATGTTCCACGATATTGACTTTGGGAATATTAAAGTCTCCTAGAATGATATGGCGTGGCTCAGCCTCTCAAACATGGTCATTCTGTATAACTTGTCTTTATTCACATTAAATATATCCTCCCATCTTCCGCCGAAATGTGTTCTTCCGAATTACTAAGTATCATGTGTTTAATTGTTATGATACGATGAGTTGGTGTATATAATGATGTGACTTCCACGTAAGATATTATAAATCAGGCAGGCACAACATGATATATCTACAATTTACGATTAGGTCTATTATTCTAATCGTACTAATAACAAAGTAGAACATAATTCTACACTTCCAAGCAAGATCACTGGTACAAGGTTACTGCATTCTCCATTCCTGTATT